TGCCGAGGCCTCTTTTTTTTTCCTTCCCTTTTTTTTTTTCTTCTCTGTTCTTTTTCCCCTGTGGAGGTTTTGTGAGTCGGAGTGGCTCCGGGGGGCTATCACCCCTTGTCCATCTTCTCTTTCTCCCCCCTCCCCTCTTCTCTGCCTCAAGAATCCGACCAATCTTGCAAATGAGATGAGTGAGGTCCAGGGTTGCCAGATCGTCTCGATGCATTCCATGATGTGGCGGTTTTCTTTTTAATCGCCTCGACCTTGCCAATAACGACTTGTATATTCAACACCTTCCTGAGTCATTCTCCCCTCTCATTTTGTTTTTCATGATGATCATTCAGGATCTCTTCATTGATTATCCTTCGGTGTGATCGGCTGATAACCATTCTCCTTGGAAGAAAGAAAAATAAGAAGAAACAAATATGTGTCGAGAAGGGGTAAATGAATGTCCGTTTTTTCTATGATGCGTCTCCAGTCGTGAAATTATTTACTCTGAGGGGTTGTAATGGTTTCTTTGTCTGTGGGGGTGTCCCTCGATACCTTCGAGCACCCCTGCCTGTGGAAAAGCACTTAACATTGCCGAAGTAAACTATTTTCGAAGGGGCCGGTTTAGATTACAGGGGGAGAGGAAAGGAACCCCTCGTCATTCGGGACAAAGCTTGTAAAGCCTTGTTTTCTCCCTCTATCTCACTTTTTGGGTGGCGTTGCCTATAGGATGGATGGACCCCCATTCCTTCCCTCGAGGGGGAAGAAGAAAATAGGGGTATAGAATGATGTGCACTGTCGGGTATTTGCGGTCCTGGATAATTTTCCACAAAACCCTCCTCGTCCTTTTCATGTCAAGTCAGGCGAGATCTCCAAGGCTTGGGTTTCACTCCTTTTCGGTTTCTTCCCCCCCCCCCCCCTTCCCTTCTCTCCTTTCTGCAGCTTTTTCTCTTTTTATCCCACGTGGGATCCTTGGTTTATTTTTTTTATCTGCAGAAACTGCTTGAAACGAGGTCAAGGTTCCCATATCCATGCCCCGCCTTTCAGCGAATCTAATGCGTCATTTTCGCCAGTGCAGAGTGTACAAGGAAGTGCCAAAATGACGAAATGCTTGATCGCTGATGCGTGTTGCATCGCCTCTGTGTTTTCCTGGATCTCCACCATCACCGCGTTTTTTTTCTTGCACAACGGGTCACACTTCTTGCATTTCTCTCTTTCCCCGTTAATTCGTCGTTCGTAACGGTTGGTCCCGTGATATACTGTGCTGCGCTTCTCACGAAGAGAAAGCGGTTCAGGTGTTGTTCTATGAAGGTTTCACTTGTCAGCTAAATTCAGGAACACATTCAATGCGTAGGAGACAATGAATAAAAGCCTAAGTTTATTAAAAGGAAGGGACTCAAAGCCTTATATTGAATATGTATGAGATGCGAGAAGTAAATTGAAGCATTCCACATTGTTCTATTATCTTCACATTGGCCGCAGACCCACGGTTGAAGGCCACTTCACGTATCATTGGAGACGTATTTGGAGAGACATATCACAGTGGCCTATTTGGCCACTGTGTTATGTCTTTCCTGTCTATCCTGCATTGGAGACGTATCACAGTGGCCTATTTGGCCGCTGTGATACGTCTCCAATGCAGGATGAGAGGATACTCTTCCATACTTCCATACTTGAGAGGATACATTTCCATACTTCGATATAGTTAATTATAATCGGATCTCTTGAAGACGCTACGAAAAGTGGGGGAGGGGTTTACTCTTCGAGTCATTAATCAATGCTGGCCAAGATTCCGATGAAAAATAGTCGACGCTCTTTGGGTGGTCTTCCAAATTGCAAGTGATGAGTTGAGAGTGAAAGAAAACCAAGAAATTGTTGGGTTGCTCGTATTATATAGGAAATTTCTCTATAGCTTGTGCCATGGATGGGTTGGCTGTGAGGAACTGCGTTTTTGTCTGCGTTCTCGCTCCTCAAGCATGAGAGAGAGGAGAGGAGGGAGAGAGCTGTGCCTCTCATCGATCTCCTCGTCCATTTCGAAGAGAGAGGAAAGAAAGAGAAGGGAGGGTGTCTGTGAAATGCGAGTGAAAGAGAGGGAGCGAGAGAACCCCCTTTGCTTTTGCCTTCGCCTTTCCTTTGCCTTGTGCGGGATTATCACTCGCTCCCACGTCATAGCCCGACAACACTGTCATTCTCCGCTGTGCGAACATAGTGTGCCAGCTGGTCCGGGCGTGGCGCCTTAAAAAATTGTGCCGAGTGAATCACGCTTTCGCCCAACTGGGGCATGGTGTCGGGGTCCCTTCCCCGTCCTCTGCGACGTTGTGATAGTTGATTTTATCCCGGAAATAATCAGTGCTTGATGAGTGTCCCCCCTTGCTCCATCGGTTGAAGGCAACAAAAAAAAAAGCCTCTCAGACGCGTCTCCTGATGAGGAAGTCACGAAGGTGAACCGGTGATTGAATGCAGGTTCGCGACCCCTTTTATGGAGCGCAGAACAAAAGCCTTGCGAAATGTGCTCGGGTTTATAATGGGAACAACTCTGACGATCGTATATGGGGGGGAGAGAGAGAGCTCAGCGTTTACACGCTACCTTATTCAGTTTTTCCCCCCCCCCCCCCCCCTTTGGATGCCTTCATTCCGCTGAGTCAGGACGAATGCCGCCTAAACATGGTATTTCCAAGGCATGATGGCGTGCCGTTCGTGTTTCCTTGCGACAAGGTCTTCAGTAGGAGGAAGCAGGAAGAGGGAGTAAGAAGTAGATGGCCTTGGTTAATGGGGAAAAGCGGATCTCGACTGACTGGAGATGGGGATCAGAAGCAGAAAATCCTCTTCGGCGGGAGGAGAGGGGCTTCTTCATACCTTGGGGGCAGTGGCGGAGTTATAACTTCAAGGCATGTCGGGGGGGAAGGGAAGCAACAGAGAGCTTTGGCCTCGTGAATTTCAATCTTCCCTTTTTTGTTCTTCACCTGCTTCCCCCTTTGAATTTCATCAAGGTCTGTTTGACCTTGCCCAGCCGTCTCGAGGTCGTCGTGTCAGCATTCACCGGAGGACATTCATCCTTTTGTGTTGAAATAGTGTGAAGTCTCCTCAGTCTCGTTCTTCTCACTTGGAATATTTTTTTTCTTCTCAGTGAAAGAGCCTGGTGAATAGAGCATTCCGGTGTGACTAATCAGGGTCTCCCCCAACTGGTCCTCTCTCTTTCTCTCTTTCTTTTGCTCTCTTTATGGCCAGTTTTTGCCTCGTTCTTCCTCGACGGTGAATGCATTCCCCGTTTCCGCTTTCTGCTCCAACTGGGTCACTCGGATCGCCATTCACGTATAGAAAGGGAGGTCGTGATCTCTTCCACAAACCAGGATCTATATGATTTTCTTCCTCTTCCTCCCCCGGCTCCACTTGATCATCATGTCCCCAGGAAACTAGGTCGACGGCTCCCCCTATTTGGGTCGGGGTATCCTCTGTCTCGATCGATCCGTCCCTTGAAGGGGGAAGGGTGGAGGAAAAAGTGACGAATGCCCTGGAAAGCCGAATGGGGGAAGGAGGAAAAGATAAAATATGCGGGGGGAGAAGACGGTGCCAAAACATGGCATGACGCACATGAACACGGGCTTCGGCCAAGGTCAGACGAAAATGAAAAAAAAAAGAATGGAACGCAATGGGGCCGCTTCGTTGTCCAAACTTTTTTTCCAGCCATGTTGCTACCATTGTAGTGGTAAAGACATCCGAGTCACCTCCGCGTGTGGTTAATGATGGGCTCTGCTTTCTAGAGCATGTCCATTGTGTGCGATTTTGGAATCCTGTTTCAATTTTTTCTCCCGAGTTATCCTGATCATTCTGTGCCAATTATGCATGTGGATTGGTGAAAGTCCGACCAGATTTTTCTTTTGTTCAGCCTTCGATCGATGACGACATTGAAGTGTGAGGGACGTGTCCCTTGCGGTGAGGGACGTGACGAAACATAGGCATTTTATCCCCTTCCATGCGTGTTGAAGGCCACTGTTTGTTGTTTTTCCACGATAACATTACGTAGTCATGGACAATTCGATATCTAGGTCGTGGGTAACGTCCACCGCGGTTCACAGTGAGTGTCGATGATTCGGGGAAAAGGGCGCAGGTCGTCAATCGACCTCTTCCCCCGCTTTTGTGGGACCGTATGTTTATGTGCCACGCAGAATCCTCGGTTGCTTCCAAGGAGGAAATATCTATCATAAGGAAGGCCCTTTGTGGTCCTTGCGTCCTTGAAATACCCCCTTCTGCGTGGGGGCATTCGGGGCACCCATTCCTTGCACAATGATCACGTCTCACTATCTATCTATCGGCGTGTTCGATTTCCCCCCTAATTTGCAGGCTTCCTTCATCTTCTCCTCGGGGCATTGCTTGTTTCTTTTTTTATGTCATGGTAGTCCCACTTCGACTCGCCATGACGGAACTGCTTCCGCATCGGAATCGCTATGCTAGGCCTAGCCTACTTTACATTCTTCATCATTTTTTTTCTCTCTCGCCCAGGGAAATTCCAAGTTGGATCCCGAGGAACGGAAAGATGAGAACCCGAAAAGAGTGAAAGGGAGACAATGAGATCCGGGGGTACCTGACGACTGTGTAGGCTGCTTCGAAAAGCCTCGGTTGTAAAGGACCAAAAAAAAAAAAAAAGGAACCGATTGGACTGATAGTACCGTGCTCTGGTGGATTTCTGGTCGAGTTCTTCAGAACATATTCTGTGATATCTGATACAACTCTCGAATTTCCATCTCGGCAAGTTGCTCATCTTGAGTGCCGTCGTCGTCCTACCTCCCGGATTTCGTCGCTCGTGTGAATCTAGTGGAGCGTATGAACTTCTTCCTTCTTCCCAACCACAGCACTCGTCTGTGATATTTTTTTTTCCTCCACTGCGTAAATTATTTTGAGTGCATTCTGTAGAGGGGTCTCTTCGTCAAACCAACATGAGACACATCCCTCAAGACAAGGTACTATTTCATGTTTCTTCTTTTTTTCCCCTTATCATCTTGCATGCGTATCGAATGACAAATCAGATGTACGCCGTTGGGCTTTTATGGATAAGACTGGGATGGATTTATGGCTTTTGGGTTGTGTACTCGAATGTAAGTGCTAAGAAACAGCTTATAAATTCGTAGAATCCGTTACATGGAAGGATTGCTGGAGCAGGAAGTATTTGACGGAGGTTTGAGAGGTTGATTGATGTGGGATGATGTGGGATTTCCAGGTAAACCTCCGCCTGATTCTGGTGAGTGGGAAGACGAAGGAGTACCTGTTCAATCCCACGGAATCTGCAGGGGAGATCGCCCAGTATGTGTTTGATCACTGGCCAGAGGGTGAGTCCTACTACATACGGGGGAGTTGGCAGGATCGCGTCTTGGACCCATTTCACTTAGCCGAGCCGAGCCGATCCATCATGTCTGTGAGGAACAGGGTTGACTCATGCTTTCTCCTCTCACGCCGACTGGGTCCCATGCCAAGTGTCGGCTCGATTTGATGTTCAGGACGTGTTCCAGACACCGGTGTCGGAAGGAATGTCTGTGTTATGATTATCGGTGCAAGTGCAAGTAATTCCCAGGAGTACAGTCTGGCTTGTGTTGAAAATAACGAGAGCCTATGTGGTTTTACGTAGAGACTGATGCATTGCATCCATAGAAGATTAATCTGAAAGTATTGGCAGAAGCTTTACTTGTCCGAGATGCAGTGCAACATTCAACAGGAAAAGCGTTATTAAGAAAGAAAGAAAGAATAATAATAAAGTAACTCCCTGTTCAAATAGCAGAACCTAATGAAGTCATAGCAAGAAATGAACAGTTTGGATAAGTGAATCCAAGTGGTCCAAGGTGATCCATGCAAAGAAACTGGTGCTTTCAAAACCATCTTTTCCTCCTCTGTGATACGCGTGTGTGAGTTATGACTGAGACAGCCTGCATGCATGAATGAATCGTCCCTTCGCAGAGTGGAGTGAGGAAAGCGTGTCGAAGGCAGAGATCCTGCGGCTGATCTACCAGGGCAGGTTCCTTCACGGTGATGTCACCCTTGGTGCTCTGGGCCTTCCGACCGGGAAGACCACCGTCATGCATTTGGTTCCTCGTGAGAACCTCCCCGAGCCCAACTCCCAAGGTGAGCAGAATGAATATATGGAAAAAGGAAAAGGAAAAGCCCGTATTGTCCTCATCTTCATGCCTTTCCCATCTTTCTCTGCATGATGACTTCCTTCCTCCGGGGAAATTTATGGGTTTTGACGGCTCTTGAGACTTATGACAGTGAGAAGAGAAAGCCCGAGGAAATGTCTTTCTCACCAGAGAACTATGAATATGGAGAATTCCTTCCGTTTTTGGCTAGCAAGAAAACAGAGATATCCAGGAAGTGACAGACTTTGGCCTTACCCTTTTTGTATGGGAGTGTTTCTGTTATTCAAGGACTTGCGCCTTTTCTTTCTCTATTTCCTTTGACTTTCAAGTATCACAGGTACTCTTTAAAAATAAGACACAGTTACTTAGGGGTTAAAAATAATATTTCCTTGGAAAATTGAGAAGTAGTTCCTTGATTCGTCATAATTGCTTCTAGAAATTATCATCAAACTAGCGTTGACTCCTTAGTAAGGGAAGGCATGAAGGTTTTGGGTGTAGCTGCATTTGATGGCGGCCTCAGGATATGTTCTTGTGAATCCCATCTGCATGGCTATAGACTATTTGATCCTCCTTAGAGCTTGGGTGCTTCTGTCACTGCAAGAACTTGTCTCTATTTTGCTAATTTAGAAGAAGTAGTAGTATCTAAAGTAGTATCTTTCCATTCTTCAGGCTTTGTACTCCCACACTGGCATCATCATCCACTTTGGCTTTTATTGTTTTGATTTCTCTTGTGTGCTGCACCATAACCAGAAGCAGAAAAATAAACATCAGTCAAGCTAGAAATAATGAGCGTTTTTAGGAACATCATCATTACAGGTGCAAGTTCTTTTGGTTCCCATCTGAGTAGTCATTACAGATACTCTTTAGACCAGTGGTGCACAACCTTCTCCCCCTGGAGGGCAAAATTGAGACTTCAGCTCATGTTTGAGGGGTTTGAGGGCCGTAGGCCCTTGGATATCAAGTGAAATAGGCCACATATAGGGATTTTTAGAGACCGGAGGCATCCAAGAGTCAGTAAAAAAGATCTCAGTGGGTTGTGGGTTGTGCATCACTGCTTTAGGCCTTCTTGAATTATGTGATAAATTAGCGGTAATACGTTATTAGTAACCTACCTGACAGACAGACTAATGAGGCACTGTTGGACACATCTCACCTTGTGGTCATGTCATTTGGTGGTTGTTGATGCTGATCTGACTCTAAGAGTACTAAAAGTATATATTTATAGAATACAGACTGATTTGGAGCAAAAATTACTTGTGTGATTTGGACATTTACAACATTGAGAAAAAAAAAAAGGCATGATTAACTGGTGTTGCAAAGTGCTTACAGTTAAAGAAACAAACTTTTCCCTTTTAGCAAAGACAGTCAAGTCAATTTCAACTGCAAGGTTGCCTACTGATTGACATTTGCTACCTTGGTGTGCCTTTTTGGGGATTCCATGTGCATTAATGAAACATGTTTCTGGAGTACTGAATAGGCCTGAACAAGAAGGGTAGACATGTAGTCATTCATGAACCTTTTCATGTATAGGGCCTGATATATGAGGCAAGTCCTTGCTTACAAGGACTTGCCCAGAGGCATGCCTTGTCTATACATGACTAGCTATGCTCTAGCAAGTCCCAACAAGTGCTTGCTTCGACTTTCATCTTGGTTCAAAATCTTAGACGGGTTAAGTGCGATCTTTCGTGATGCGACTTTTTCTTCCAGTCTTCACGACTTCCGAGATAAAAACAATTCAAAACGCATAAATGCTTGTGAGCAAATTGCACTCTGATCGGTTGGAAAGTCCCTGTAAGAAGCAATTGGGGTAGGGCTCATGGCATCCCCTGCACTATGGTAGGAGTGGATGGGGTCTTGAGTTTAGGTTTCTTGATATCAGTAAGCCATTGTCTGAAATGGCCCCTCTGTATTCAAAACTAAATTGTGCAAGAGATATTGCTCACATGATTGGGTGCATCATCATGAAGAGAAGACAGAACTGGGAAAGAAGTTGTGAAGTTTAGACAATGCCATGTCTGCTGAGGCATGCATCTTTGGGTGCTCACAATAACCACAATAATGAAATAAACACAATCCTTGTTATTGCTGGAAATGAAATGGCTTCCTTTCTCTGATCCCTGACGGAGCGATTATGGTACTCCATCATAATATTCTAGGGCCAAGGTCAACCATGGAAGTCAGTAATAAGGGCCTCAGTGGCTTCATTGGAGAATTGTAATGCCATGTCACAGAAGAGTATGCCTAGGTTGTGGTCTGGAGGTATATAGAGACTAGGTCTTAGTCAAGATCTCTAGGCATACAATGGCAATGACTTGGGAAAGATCACATTGACATCTATTTGCAGGCATTAGTTTTAGCTCTTTTTGACTTTGTTTCACAGATGCATACAAACTTTTGAACAAGTGGAGGCAAGTCCTTGCCAGAGTTCATTTGCTTTGTGTACTCTCTTGCACTCTCTTACTCCATGTAAGCAAGGACTTGCTTCATGTATCAGGACCTTATTGTATATGCTGCTTGGCAAGCTGATAAGATTCATTATATCAGTGGTTCTCAATGTTTTTGTAGCAACAGCTTCCATTTTTGGAAATGAGATATCCAGACACCCCAGCATGTTCATGGAGTTCCATACATAATGATATTGGTCAAACTATAAGTAAATATTAGGGAAGCCAGGACCTCTGATTTCATTATGAAGGGTTTAATTTGAACTGTTGCTTAGCATTCAAAGAATATTTATTCAAACTCTTCATTTGTTAAATATTTCACTTCAATTTGATACCTGTGCCTCCCAAAGAGAGGAAATCAGGACACTGATCATTATATGAAGTGATCCTACATAGGTAATGCTTTTTTTTTCTATATACACCCAGAATAAGATCATGTTAACATGCACACTTGGTGGCAAAAGCAATCAGGATTTTCATTGGAGCAACAATATTGACCTTGGTATTCTTCCTTGGTAGGCTCTCTCTTAATGAATGTGTATTGCAGGAATATGGAATATGAGTTCATTTATATTTAAATTGACTCATGATATGCTCCTGGTGCACAATTTGTTAAAAGATTAGATTGAAGTCAGAAGTATATTTTGAAGACAGTTCTTCATAAGTTTTCTGTCCATTTCATTTAAGTGCACCTTGATTACACCAGTTCAGGAGCATTGTAGCCTCATGGTCTTCCTTGGGTGACAGGTCTAAAGAAATGCTCTCAACATTCATAGCACCCTTGTCAGCCTCTTGAAGTACCTCTGTGTGGCATTATACAAAGGTTGAGAACAACCAAATTGTCATTGGAAGTACTGCTAGGAGTGCTGACAGTAGGTCAAAATGTGAGACTTATGAAAATCACATTGGCAACCTTGCAAGAAGTTGTCAAGATTGGTTCAGTAAATAGGGGACATATGTGATTTTTTAATTATTTATTACTACTATTCAATACTTCCTATGCTTATTCACCACTTGAGGCCTCCAAAATACATGTTGTCACCCTTGCCCTGAGGCTAATGCATTGATACCTTGTTTTTTTAAATGCACTTGGCACTTTTTTGCTTCAGTAATGCTATATGCTCTGGATAATTAATACCTTTTAGTACTATCAGTGCTAGATCAATTTTAGAGGCTCACAAAAGACAAACCTCTGAAGCAATTACATTGTTGAAATCAGTTTTGCAAATGTTTGATCTAATTTAGTATTTTTTTTAATTCTTAGTACTTATATTGCCAGATTAGTACTTGACCCCAAAAGTTACAGTGCTAGACCAAGTTGAACTCAATGGCATCACTTTTGCTGAAATAGGCTTGTAATACAGGGTGTCTGAAAAGGATTACAATTAAAAATTAATATTTCTGGAAGAAAATATAGTAGGGGAAAAGTTTGCAGGAACTAAATGTGAGACTAGTCCTTTTTTTTTTTTACACAGTGTAGTTCAATATGCTCACCATTTTGAGGTCTACACATATCCAAATAATCTTTCACTTCCCTCCAGGTATTCAGTAGCACATCATGCATAATGGCTTGAACACAGCTACAGTCCTTGTCCTATTCATCGATGGTAGACTTCATGTCTTCAAAACCCTTAACCCTGGTCTTATACTCAATGTCTTTTGACTCCACAAGAAAAAGTCTAGTAGGGTCAGGTTTGGTGAAGTTGAGGACCATGGGATGGATCCCCCTATGGCAATCCATTGATTCGGGAAATGCTCACTAATAAACTAGCTGATGTGATTGCTAAAGTGGGGAGTATAGAGAAAGCTCAATTATCGCCTGTCTGGTCACAGAAAGAACTACTTCTAATCCATAAACACCAGCAAAATTCTCATTTGTCATACTTGGGCTCCATTCTGCTCCCCAAAAACAGGCTTGAGACAAAAGGAAGGCAGGGGTTTGACAGCTTTTGACATGTCATAAGAATGCCACTCTATTAAGGGCTCATGCTGCCTGGTCCTTTCTGGGCCTGGATGACTATGTGTGCCTGGTCTATGTAATTGCTGCACCCAGGAGCACAGCAGAGGCAGATGGAATATTTCCTGATTTTGAAGTCTCATTATCTACACAAAGGCCTTAGCATGAGACATGGTACAAGTGAGCTTAGAGTGGGAGCCAGATTACTTGAGATAGAAAAAATGGTATTCTGGATTAATACTCACATTTGTTTTTGCTCTCTTCCCTACAGATCAACGGCAGAAGAGCAAAGGTCGAGGAAGCCAATGCTGCTCCCCGTCTTGCTCTATCTTGTAACTCCATCTGGGGTTCATCTAGGCTATTGAAAATGGAAAACGGGTCCTGATATCCTCCAGAAGTGGCCAATGCGTCGTTGTGGGATGAGGGATGACACTGGGAAGACAAGTGAACTATGTAAGGGAAAAAGAGGAAGAGAACCCTTTGCTTGCCCCCTGTGTCTCCCCCGGGTTGTGATTTTCAATGGTGTGAATGAGCGTGCACCCAAGACTTTCCCCCCCTGTGGCGTATTGAGCATGCTTGTGACACCAGAAGAAAATTTATGAGAAGTCGTATCGATTCTGGGGATACGGACTCCCTCTTGAAAAATTTAGTGATCTCCTTGAATGATGAAGTTTGTCTGCCTGTTCTCTTATTCCTCTAGCTTTGGAGACATTTTCCTCCAATTCTGTCATGATATTGGATTTTCCCTTTGGATGTCCCTTTTCTGAGTTACCAGCCAAAGCATGCACACTTTATTCTTCCAGACACAAATTTTTGAGAGGGTTTTTTCTTGGACCACATGGATTATATCGAGTGAATCTGAGTCTTTCTAGAATGAAAATTTTCTTGCCTTTATTTTCCCTCAACCCAATATTTTCATCCCACTTCAGCCTACAGTGAATCATTCTCCCTGCAAAATTTGTCAGTGATGAACATGGATGTTTGTTTCATTGGAGGCTTCATGAAAAAAAGATGATGTTATCTACTTGCTGGTGTCATATTTTTCATGTTAATTCTTTGTCTGTACATGCTTGGGGATTCTTCTGAAAGTGGCCAAGTAGGTCAGAGGTGATGACTCTCTTCAGTCATGATATTCTTTTGAGCTTTCACCCATTGGTACAAATGACCCACTTTGGTAGTGATTTCCCTTTCTTTTGCATGACTCAACTTGGAAAAGGGAGATTCATGAATGTCATGATTGCTGCAATTTGTTGAAATCATTGGTAAGAAAGGGAAATCCAGGTACTGTTGCTAGGAGTCATGTAAGATTTTGCAAAACACAGGTATCTCACTGGTTGCTGAAAGTTTGATCTCTTGTTTGCTTAATCCAAGAAACATATTGATGATGGTACTCAGTGCAATAGATGGAGTACTTCAACACTGATCATAGATATGGTAATAGATGCAGTACTTGAACACTGATTGTAGATATGGTTATAGATGCAGTACTTGAACACTGATTGTAGATATGGTAATAGATGGAGCACTTAAAGGCAGCACTTATCAGAAGCAACAAGACCTATGCATTTTTCTTCATAGTCCGGTTATAAGAGTGGGTACGTCAATCATACTTGAAGTTTCATGCTCTGAGATCAAGATAGTCTCTATAGGCTGATATATACTTCATTCCTGCTTCTCATAAAACAGGATTGACACAAAAACCACAGGAGTAAGGCTGGGTTTAAAAGATAAGAAACTGCATCCTATTAAGGGATAATGCCACTTGGTCCTTTCAGGGGCTATATAAATCATGGTGTGTTGAATCTCTGCATGATTGTGTGGTATGCTAGTGCAATTGACACCTTGGTGGAGTTACCAAGGTGTCAATTGCACTAGCATACCACAAAGGACTGCACAAAGGACACTTGATCTCTGATGTCCATACTGCAACCATGAATTGAAGAGGTATGAAATTACTTTTGAGATGGATTTGCTACTTGACACTGCATAATGTACAGGATGAGTTAAACCATTCACAACCAGTGACATTTCCCCTTGACAGTCATTTATGGGAGTACAAGTGCATACCAGTACACTTGTAGATGTGAATGGGTTAAGCCAAATGATTGCTTGCATGCTTCAAAACAAGGTGATCAGGTGCTTGAGCTCATTTTCAATTTATCATAAATTATACCCAGTAAATTGTTCTTTTTCAGATGATATTCTGCCATGCAGTATGGAGTCATTTCCAGTTAGACACTTGATTATGGAGAGCGTTGCTGTCTGAAACGTCCTCATAGAAGTCTTTCTGCCTGGTGCATAAGAGATTTTGAATGCAACCTGCTCCTTGTCAAAGTTATCTGACATCACAATCTAGAAGGTAGTCAGAAGCTAAATAATTTTTCATCTGTGACTTTTCAAGTACATGCATGAGGTTTCATTTGAAGAAAATGAGAACTTGACTTTAACTGTTCCCAACTTGGTTTTTCAAATGGCCATGAGATTCAGTCAAGAACATAAGTTGGCCATATTCTGTATGAAAACATGTGCTTGACTCCTCACTTTAAAAGATATTTCTGCTTAGGGCATGGCTGATTAGACTCTCTTTGTCCTATGGAACTTCTATTTTAGTTTATGTGACCTTGTTAACTGTATTAGTGATGTGAGGTGTAGCAGCCAGGGTCACCCAGAGGTTTCCAGGGGCCCGGGGCAAACTAAACCAGAGACCTCCTTGGGGGGGCCCCTTGGGACCCCTTGATATGTGGGGCCTGGGGCAGATTGCCCCAATTGTCCCCCCCCCCCCCTCTGGACAGCCCTGGTAGCAGCTGCACAAGCTAGAGACCACTTTCAACCCTCCTGGAGAATGGCTGCTGAATTCATAGAGCTGTTAGGCAGTTAACTCTTCCATCATTCTTATATAACAAAAACGGTTTCAGATATTGAAGGGGGCATGAGGTACAAATAAATCTCTATATAAATGAAATGCACATGTAATGTACACCTTCATTGAAGGGAGGACATGATGCAAGAACCTCTAATTTCAAGCTTTTCTCAGAAAAATGCTCAGCAAACAGGCAAAAAGCAATCTTCCATTTCTTGAATTCATCTTTGATGGTTACTAGGAACTATCAAACAGAGGCCCAATCAAGGGAACCACAGAAGTTCCTCTTCAAGTAAGGCAATCTGTGTACCCATAAAGCCCATTTGATTCATCTCTTTAAAAGTGTAAGAACCTTCTCAATGCTACTTGAAATAGGATGTATGCAGTTGGCTCATCCTAATGGACAATTCTAGAGGTCTCAATAAATATATTGTCCCCAAAATAAATCCCCAAACACATGACCAGTTCAGTCTTTGAATAACTTATTCTTGATGGCAGAGTTCAACTGGAAGTGCTAAGATATCATAAGCTATTTTGAGCATTGCTGGAACTGCATGGTTTCAGCAGTACTAAATGCTCAACTCAACTTTTTAGCTCAACTTTATTTTTTGCCCATTTAACCTGTTTTTCATTTGTAACACTCCAAGTAAGTTTCTGTATACAGAATGAAACTGTACTGACATACCCAGGTAGCACACTCTGCTGGGATGCAGCTGGGAAAGAGCCGAGTGTGCAGCTGTGAAAAAGTGGAGAAAATCAGCAGATTCTCAAGTGGGAATGTCACACGTTATGCAGCTGAGTAGCAGCAGAGAAAATAGAAGAAAGCACTGCTGTAGCTTAGCTGTGATCCAGCTGAGCTACAGCTGTGCTGGAAGCTGGTCTGCCCTGCTGCACTGCAACAGAGCATATGCTTCCAGCACAACTGGATCACAGCTGAGCTACAGCAGCGCGCGCTTTCTTCTATTTTCTCTGCTGCATAACGTGTGACACTTGAGAATCTGCTGATTTTCTCCACTTTTTCACAACTGCCTCCTCATAGAGAGTACTACCTGGGAAATCCCTTTACCTCTCCCTCCAGAGATAACGACATTAAGGATAAAACCAATGTTTGTGATTGAGTTAGGTAAAGCTCTTTGTTGGTTATGTGCATCCAAGAATGCAATGTATCTACAGGATCTATGAACTATCATGTGCATCTCATGGAACTTGTAGCTTGCCAGGTCTTGAGAGAACTTTGCAAGTCGGGTAACAATAAGTTGTTCCGTCTTTTTTTTAAATGTGCAGTTTACACAATAAATGGATGGAGGCTCAGGAACTCCAAGACACTGTTTTCATGTATCTTTTCCTTCTTTTCTTGAAGGGTGGGGGGGGGCATGTGCCATCCTGGTCCCCCTGAAGCTATGCTGCTGGTTTGCACCTTAAGTTAGTGATAGATCAAGCATTCATGATTGATGCCAATAGCCTTTAAAATGGCTGTTCTGATACAAAGTGGCAGATATAATAACAAGACAAAACTTTGTGTGGAAGTACCCTCATGGACATAGGTTCTTCAAGGAGATGGGCTTGAAAGTTACTCAAATGTGAGCATCCTTGTGGCTATCAAACACCCTAACTCTTTTTGATTTGAAATTTCTTTGGTATCTTTTGATTGGTACACATACACATAGCGAAATTGCCTAATATTATTATTTAATGCATTTCTTTGAAAATATTTGGAGTTTGCCAAGCAGATAGAGCAGAAAATGAAACCCTTGAAATTGGGGCAATTTGTTTGAAAGATAAACTGTAATGTGGTTTTATTGTCAACCTATAAAAGGAAAAATGGCTCTTATGCAGTCTGCAGTTCACTTAGCAATATTCCTGTGCATGATCCTTTATAAAACATACAGCTGAAATTTGGAGAAAGTCTCACTGTATATGTCAAATATTTAAGCCCATGCAATGTCCCAACTCAAAAATTCTTTCGACCTTAACATCTGTGTTGGATGTCCCAAGCGAAAACCTGAGAAGAGCTAAGGGTGATGTTAACTGCAGAAACTCATAGGAAGGTGGGATCTGTCACATCTTTTGCTTTTTAGGCCCATGCACATAGGAATAAATCAAAAGGCCCTGGCCCCTCCTGAGGATTAGAGAGAAGTTCAAAGGTTCATATAAGGGTATCTGCTTCTTTCTTACCTTTGTAATTTAGTGTCATTAGTTCAACACTTTGAAACTTGTGAAAGCTTTAAAAAAAAGGAAAAAGCTACCAGGAAAGGGATGCCATGTATTTGTCACTTCTTGTGAAGTGAAGATGTGATCTTGTACTCTTATCATCTTAAGAAAAGATGAAGCATAGTAAGTTGCAGGCAGAAAAGGGACATATGAAGTTTTGGGAGTATTTGATAATAAAGAAATACAGAACTATTGACAATCTGGATGGGGTCTACTGGGAACCAGGGAATAAGGCTGCCAGTTCTGGAAAATGTGGTCACCTAAATCCTCACCTATGAAGACTACCAGTTCAAGGGCTGAAATCACCAATTTATATTGTCCTGAAAATTTTCAGAATAGCATTTAGCTACAGAAAACTGAAAACCAGAGAACTCCTGCACAAATGAAATGAATTTCCTGTTTAGAGCCCCACTACTTAGTTAATGGGCACTAAAGATTCATGTCCAAGTCATAAATCATGATAATGAGGCATACACCAGCTGTGTAACTTAACTCTTTCACTGTGTACTAGAATCAATATATTGATAGGTTAGGGAGGACTACCTGCAGTGTGAAAAAAGTCTACCTCTGCAGCGAAAGAGTAAACCAGTTGGCATTATTACCACTTGGTAATGAAGATGGGAACACAATCTATAAGCAAAAGGTGGCTATATTGCAATCAAAGATTCATCATGAGGACGGTGTGAGATAATCAAGTTATCTCATTCTATTTTCACCTTATTTTAACTGGTAGCCATTCAAAATCCAAAACATGTATGTTCTCAAATTCAATCATCTTCCTCCTCATCATCCTCAGAATCCCCATCCTCTTCATCATCATCCTCTCCAGGCACATAATCATCATCATCATCATCATCACAGTTTCTGTCTGTCCATGTAAAGCCAGATGCTCCACTTGGGTAATCATCATCATCATCATCTGCTGCTTGGGTTCTGCCAAACTTATGAGTCCTCACTGGAAGAAAGAAGATCCAATCAGGTGTACATTCAAAATCAGTTGGTGACAAACTCGAGCAGAGAATTGTCAGAGCACAGTTGCACTAGACCTAACTAATCAGACCAAGGGGTTATTTGAACTAAGGCCTGCTGCAAGAGTCAAATACTCCCAAAAGTCGTGTTATCAAAGTTTCAGCCTTATGATTCCCATCAATATTGTCATTATCAATAAGGCATGCAATGCCACCAATGCTGACCCCTTAACTGGCTAGACAAAACAAACTCTGACAGTGGTGCTACCAAAGAGAAAAGGACCACTGCTCTTCTGCTAATCTGTCTAACTTGGCAGGAATACATATGGGGTGATAAATAAAAAAATAGGGTTCACTTTTGTTTGAGACTCAGTGCTGGCCTCATTGCAAGTGAAACCCACTCTGTAGGAAATTGAGAATACTCAATATTTTATCTATCAAGAACTTGCTGATTCTGATCATGAGCCAGCTATGGGCTGACTTGAAAGCCACTAATTACAAAAAGGATTTGCACAAATAAAGAGAAGCCTAGAAGGGACAAGATTGCTAATTGTCACTACTTCATAAAGGAAGAGATCTATTGAGCAACTACTTCAAGGATCAGGTTTGCCAACAAAAGTATCCCAAAAATTAAAATTGAATAGGTCAAGAAACTTCAGAAAATAAAGCTGAACACATCCCCAACTATAGGCACAAAGAAAATGCAGCTGATAAGTGCTTTTGAGTAGATAAAGAGGGACACTTTGGGCATCAATTGGCACTGACAACATGTAGTCCCTAAATACACCCAAGGTCAGAAGGAGTGGGCAAAGGCTGGGTGCCTTCACCCCACCAATCCATTGAGTCTGACTCTTCCAAGATCAACCTCATGGTTGATGAGACTTACATCCCACTGGGTGCCATGGATATCCCTGGGAAGAAGTACTATTATTGTGTCAAGAAGAGTGATGTGGATTATGCATTCAAGTTTATACCCAAGGCTAAATTCACTCAACAATATCTGTTCTGGCAGGTACTTGATAAGTCTGACTGCATTTTGATTCCCTTTGTATCAAAAGGTACATTGACTGCCTAAACCTAAATCAGTGTCTGAAGAACTTCCCATCATTGAAAATTACTACTAGTTATATGTAGTAGTTACTACTACATGTCATCTTCTGGATGGACATGGCTCCTTATCAATTGGCAAAAGTGGTCCAAGTCTGGCTGAAGTCCTAGGGTATAAAGTTTGTGGCCAGAGAGATTAATGCCCCCAACTCTCCTAAGGTCTGACTCATTGAGCAAGACAGATACTTGGAAAGAAGGGCGAAGGCCATGAACCTCAACTCTTTCAAGTGGACCTTGTCAAATTTGTTGCAACAAGTGACAGACAAGGTGGGACCTCATGTGGTCACTTTGAAGCCAGCTTAGAAAAGTTGGTTGTCGAGGCATCTATACCCCTTGCAGAGTGATGAATTGTATAGAGTGGAAGTGGTGTCTTTATCAAATGAAATTTGAATATTGTAACTTATTTAGGTACTGATTAAACAAACAAAAGTGAACCCTATTTCTTGGCCACCAAGAAGCCAAGACCACTTATCCATCAACAACCATGTCCAGAACACTGACAGGAATGTGAATGTTTTGACAATTGATAGATAAGTGTCTGCAACTCACCAGACATGGAAAGATCCTTGGTGGCTGAAGTGGTATGACTGCACTTTGGACATGGAAATGCCTGCTTCTCATCATACTTGAAGCCCTTCCTCTTGATGTGATCATCACACCAGCACAATTTACATCTCAGGCAGGAGTGCTGACCTAGCTTGTTGCATGAGACACCTGCAGGAAAGACATTTCACCCTAAACAATACTGGATTCTTTCAAAGTCACTTTTACATTTAGAGAAATCATAACTCAAAGAACAACAAAATGCATTAAAATTTTATTTGAAGCGATAGAAGTGTATTTCAAAGGTTTCTCTTCACAATCACTGATAAGCACATTTTCAAACATTTTCCTCACAATTTGCTCAAAATTACCACCATACCATCCCTGTAGATACACTCTTCCTAAAGATGGCCTCACTTTGAATGACCTGATTTCATATTCCTGGGGTGATACCCATGATGATTCTCTTTCCAATTGGCACAGCTTTGGATTAATGTGTCTATAAGACATTTCAGAAACTTCAGAGACAAAAATATGGCAGGCTCACATGTTTCTATGGCATCACTGACCCATCCTGTCAGTATTGGAAGAGTTTTGGTGAGCTAAAAGGAGCAACATGAAGCAAGACTTGAAATTTCTATGGCTTGAGCAAGATGGATCCTTCACACCACCCACCAAAAGCTTGGAGCTGCTTCATGGTCATTTTTATGATCACATGATTTAATTCAAGGTGACATTCCTTGGGACACTGATAGAACCAACATGTGTATCACCCCAAAAAATGCAAACAAATCATTCAAAACATAGCCATTGATTTGAAAATAAGGGAAAATAAAGTAAAACGTAAAGACTTTACTAGATGCTCTGTTGCTGCTTTGAAGAAACTGTAATATATTTCTCATATTTTTGGTTATATTTTGATTCCTTCATTGAGTTTTAAAGACCCTGTATTTCTGAACTGTGCAGGGTCCCATGACAACTGAGATCATCCACAAGTGGGACTCACATTTGTAAGTCTCAGTCTGGAGAGTCTGACAGGAGGCTTGATGTTCAAACTGGTCATCCTCACAGAGGAAATTTGAACAGTAAGGACAAACAAAGATTCGTCCTCCATGATCCCAGACTCCCCTTTGACATTCAATACAGTCAGCATCTCGAAGTGGGCACGAGCAGGCATGACTTGTCAGGCACACCCTTCCATGGCAAACCCAGGCTTCACAGAAGTCGCAGATTGCTCCCTGACAAAAGCATAATACCATGTGCAACTCAATATATGCCTTTGTCTTACAGTCAACAAAAAGATAGGTAATCCCATGCTCAATGAGGCCTAAGCAAAGCATATGACTTACCACCATGCCCAATCCAGTAGTGAAAGAACCAGGGTGTTTCACAACACAATCTCCCGACTTCATCATGCACTTAGCCTTCCCACATTGAGCACAAACTGGCAAACGCTGCAGTGCCTGACAGAAGTAACAAAAGGCCCTGTTTTTCTGCTTCCTGGAAGATCAATCAAGGGCAATGACAATCACGCAACAACAATGTATCTAGGGAGATGTCGAAGCCACTCTACTCACCTTCCGCACTTGTCACAATCCTGCAGGATATAAAAGGTGATAAATTCAAGTTATGCCAACTATAGTAGATCCATATCAACGACTAAAAATTATGAAAATAAAAACTGGATTTTAGAAGTATAGGCCTACCATGTTGAAGTTGCATGGTCGCTCTACCAAATCTTGTTTCTCCTTCGAAGACTGAATCTTCTTTTGATGCAATTTTTGTTTTTCATGCTTCTTTCGCTGTCCAGTTTTCTTCTTGGGCATGGTGATGAGTTACTTCAGACGATACACCTACCCTGTGGGCTGCTCCGATCAATACACCAATCCCGCTCAGAAAGTTAGGCCTAGATTGTTTCAGGGCTTGAGCCACATGGGAGTAAGCGGCACGCACACTATGAAGGGCGCAGCCATGCCACCTCTCCTCAGCTGCTTTGGTTCTGCGCCAAGAAATTTGCATCTGTGATGTGGTGCGGTGTGGTCTGCGCAGTCCACGTGGCTACAGTAATGGATTGGTTGTTGACGTGAATGAGGAGAGACAAACTTGGTGTATCTGTACTGATCCACCCTTCGACAGAGCGGACACTGTTGGCCCGACCAGGGAGATTTTCTGACCTGACTTTTGCTTATGTGATGAAACTGCCTGACGATGATACGGAGAAGAACTGGAATGCTGTCATTAACAGAGCTTCACTCAATCCCCTCAAGATTTCTCTCGTGGGTGGGGGGATCAAGACCTCCGCTTTTTCGCCCTTATAAAAAGAGAGAATGGACGGGAGGGAGCTCGTCCGTCTTCATTTCCGGCTCAAGTCTCCCTGGGATTCAGTGGTCCAAGCCAGGAAATTCGGACGGGATGAGGGTGAGGTGGAAATAAATATATACTGGGTGGACACAACCCAGATAACTTTTTCTTTGGGCCCACGTTGGCCCAATGTGGTCCTAAAACGTCAGGACACGTTGGCCCACTGTAGGTTATTCACATTGACCGTTGGACCAATGTGGGGCCAACGTTGGCAGTAAGTTTTAGAGCAACATATAATCCACTTACCCCTGTAGCTGATTTTTTTTTCTATATTGGCCATCATCACTTTATGCCATATACTTAAATTCATTACCCAGTAGAAGTATTCCCATATGCAGTGCGGAGCCTGTACTAAGCACAACCCCCTGTCATACACAGGTCTATACCCTGCATAGGCAGGAGAGCTAGGACAGTATACAAGTTGATCTTCCTCTGAATGTACTAATTACCAGGGCCGCCCAAAGGGGGGGGGGGGGCAATCTGCCCCGGGCCCCACGTATCAAGGGGTCCCAAGGGGGGCCCTCCAAAGGGCCTCAAGGGGGCGCCCAAGGGGTCTCTGGTTTAGCTTTGCCCCCTGGAAACCTCTGGGCGGCCCTGCTAATTGCAGTACATTCAGAGGTCAAGGTCCATCCCTTACAGTTCTATGAAGTATCCGCGAAAACGGTCCATTATTTTCTCATTCTGCCATCTAGATGAGAAAACAGCGAATTAAGTTCACGGACGCTCCCAATGTTCTAAAACTCCTTTTTTGGATAAGGTCACCTCCTTTCCCAAAAGGGTTCTCATAGGGAATATGAGCTTGTTTATAGTCTGGGCTCCATGAATCTTTCTCGAATATGTGGATAACAAATGATGAAGTGTCCGCGTTTATATACTACTCCCAAAAAGTTTAGCAACCCTGTGATTTTCCATAATAAGAAGAAATGTTTAAAAACTTTGAAAATACCAACTCTTGCAGTTCATAAGGGCATGTTAGCTGAATCAAAATTTCCTGAAACGATGTTCGGCCATTCTGGCATTACACAGGAACTGCAGGTCAAAGACGAGGATAAGAAAACTGAAAATTTCCCAGAGAAAATTGTCCAAACTGTTAAGAAGAAATGAGTATGACCAAACTTTGAACTTGAATATGCTGTATAGCAGCATCTCATATTGCTGTCGATCCCCTGGATCTGTCCCTGGTGGATTTTGGCCCATTTTTGGCCCAGCGGAGGAGCTAGATGTTACTGAAGTCAGTGGAAGTTGTGGTCGGTTGTTAAAAAGGTTGCCCACCCGGTCCCAAACATGCTCGAGAGACGCCAAGTCCGATGAATTTTGGTTGGCCAGTCCATTATGTTGACTAGATTCTGCAGGAGGAATTGGTTGTCCACCTGCGTTATGTTAGAAGTTAACCCAGTGTCGCATGAACAACAGGTTGAGGAATTTAATTTCTGTAGCAGTTCAGTTCCATAGTGCTTTGTCAGATTTCCATGCAATATCTGCAGAGGACATCTACCGATGATATTGACGTCGTCTCCGTCTTGTCTTCTCCACCAAACGATCAAGTTCTTGAAGAGCAGAATTTTAAGCACTCTTCCAGCGTCTGTACTCTTGTCACCCGCAGCCATTAAAGCATAGGCCTAGACAGAAACGAGAATCATCCATGAATTGCTCGGAATGTCATCGCTCTTGATTCCATCGAATGAGGGCTCTGCGCCACTCATAGCGACGTCTACGGTGAACTCGTGTACGGTGGCACCCGCATTGTTAAATGCCGAACTGGCAGACCTGTAGCTCGGAGATGGTTCCTGATTGCTGTTTGACCCATATTGTTGCCCATAGTAGCTGTCACAAAGACGATGAGGTCCTGGTCCTTTCGTTGAGAGCTGCAATTAATAAAAGTTGTTTCGCGGATGGATGCGCATGAGTACAAAGTTAAGTTAAGTTACAACTTAATACAAAGACTTTTCGGGACACATTTGATCAAAATTGACAAATCAGAATTTTCCTTGAGGAGTTCCATGAAACAAAAATGTGCCAGATCACGATTTCTTCTTGAGTGCTCTTCAACGTGCTATCAATATAATATCCAACGAGATCCAACGAGAGATACCCCACTGATATCTTATTGGAAGAATATAATTCACTAAAGTTTTTTAATATCCTTAATTTATTTTGTTTTTAGGTGAAATACTGAAGTGATGGCTTCCTATCTAACGCTGTAGGAAGGAAGAAAGTTAGCTATTAGTTAGTTAAGAAATTAGTGAAAATCGTTAGTGTATAGTGGTGAATATTCTTCCCATAAGAAATCAGTGGGGTATCTCTCGTTGGATCACCCTGTACTTCAAACGCGCTCCAGGTGACACCACAGGTAAAAATTCAGGGGTGAAATTCGGGGCTCGAGGCCTTCCAGAGCGAGGACGATCTGCCGCACTTCCGGTTTCGTCAAGCCTAAAAAAGCTAAAAAGCTAAGGAACATCCAGCGATATTTATGTGTCCAAAAAATGGGGTGAATTATTCAGCCATTGCTCACTTGCAAATGGAAGGAAAGAGAACGAAATCAACGGAGTTCTTGGGAGAAACTGGACCAAAAATCAGTGAAAAAGTGAAAAATGAAATATTTTGTCCGTGGTGCATTATTGACTATTTTCGAACTTTATCAGACTCACGAGTGAGAAATGCTGTGATTCCATTTCTCTATTAAATGTTGCATTATTTAGCATAATATTACAGGGTTTGTCGTGTAACCACTGGCGAGCGCTGTAAGGGCACAGCAAATGCATTTTTGGATATTAGCTCATGAGACATCGATGGATCGAATGATGGCCTACGGCTATAACGAGCCTGCGAGTCGGCGCAGCACGCGGCATCGAGGGAATTCATCAGCAATCGGTCGTTCTGCCCCGAATTCCTAGAGCAAGCCAGTCGCATCGCTCTTGCCGCATGTCTGCATGTCGGTAGAAAAGATCCCGGACGCCAAGCCGACTTGGCAGTCCCTACGAACAAATGCGATCGCCCTTTCGAGATCGATCCAAGAAGAAAATGATAATTCATCGCATCGACTGCACCGTTCTTCTCTTCCGATGGCCACCGGAAAAGAGACACAGGTAATGCGTAAGGATCACAAATGCGACTCATTAATTTTTATTTATAATAAAGGGAGCGGTCCCCTCAATGACTTTTGCTGGCAAATTACCAAAATCATTACGTATATCATTGATGATAAAATAGCGATAAGTACCCTTAATTATAGTTACTTTGAAAAGAAGCCAAACAAAATGCAGATTACCTGACAACCACCTCCAAGATGGTAGATTTTGAACTGATGGCACTGGGACATTACGAGGACCCAGCGGAGCCTATTTCCAGGCCTCCCTGCGGTTGATGACGTCACGCGTGTTGAGAGGGAGTGCGTCGTCTGCTAGCGAATGGGAGGACTCCCCCTCCCCTTCCCCACTCGGTTCCTGCCATTCTGCGCTCCAGACGATCGCTTCATCCCGTAATGCAGTCACGAGGGGTCAATATTTGCAGGTCAATGCCTGCTCTCTTCCCCTCTGCCCTTTCTTCGACTCGTCTCCTCCATTTACTTTTACTTGTTTGGCTATTTTTGTTTGTTTATAATTTATCTAATGAATCAGTTTTCGCAGAATCGTGCAAAGTTGTGCATGAGCAAAATTGGCGCCAGCACAACTTCTTCATTTTATTTACAACTCTCATGACACCCCTCTTTCCTGCCATCAACGTGTCCTTGCTTCCATGACAATCGAATATCTGTTTCATTGCCGAACACTGATTCGAAAAATTCATCTCTTGACTTCTTTAAACCCTCTCGGGAAAAGGCGTTTATCCAGCTTCATACCTCAGAAAATTGTTTTTTTTTTCTTACATTCAAGACTTTAAGATGAGGATGCTTCGATCTGAATCTAGAGAGAGATTGCCAGCCTCGAGTTGCGCGTTTAACGAAGAGGCTCAAGGAAACGAGATCCTCTGGAGAAGCATCTCGTCGTGCTCTCAGAAATCATCTTCAATACTTTCTGCGTCTATTGATGAAATTTTTAGAAAAAAAAAGACGCTGGATAATGAGGCTGGGATGGTGGCTGAGATGCATCTATTTCCGTTGAATTTCCCCACTACAAACGGGAGAAAGATCCCCTTTGTGATGTCAGGAAATTCTTTTCTGCTCCATTAGTTTCGAGTTGATCTCGCGAAAAACGAAAAGAGAAACCGCGGACAAGAAGGACCTGAACCAGCGAGCCGAGAAAAATAGAAGCGGCAGCGAGACGCAACGAGATCGGCACGCTGCATCCGGAGCCATCCCGGCTCCTCTCCGTTCGCTCCTCCGGGAATTTCCCGATTCTCCTCGGTTCTCTCGCAGAAGCGAACAGGATGGGAGGCAGCCGTTCCAGAGCAAGCTCGATCATTCCTTGGAGAATTCCATAAGGCCCTATGGAGTCTTGCCAGGACTCTTTCGTCTGTGCTGTAGTGAGACTAATGTTGCGTAGCCCTTCGATCATCACGGTCGGCCTAATGGACAGGCCCGGGGTACGAAGCCAATCGTACTTCTGATCAACTTTCAAGGGCAAACATAGTGTAGCGTGTATGAAGAGCCCGCCCGCCCCCTCGAGGTATAATTAATGGAAAAATGTAATTGAAGCTTGTGTCCACACGACTGAGGATATGCCGC